ACCCCCAGCTCAGAACCAGCCCCAGACCCCCTGCCCTGCCGACCCCGCCCCCCTTTCCTGACATGCCAGGCAGCCCAGCTTCCAGTGTGCCAGGCTCCTGCCCACCAGGTAGCCCTGCTGCCTCACCCTGAGCTCCCAGTTACACCGAGCAGCCCTGCTACACCCAGTTACACCAGTCCTCCCCGCTCCCCCCCACACCTAGACTCCCTGGTCATGGAACATCCATGGTTCTACTGGTTTACAGACGTCGTTCAACCTGTATATTGTAATTTTTAAAGTAAAAAAAATCAATATCCAATTAAATTTAATTGACTAGGAATGGGAAGGGCTCATAAAATAATTCTTGTTAGTGGGTTTCTTCCCTCTGGACTCTTAAAAACATCACTTTCCCCCTCAGGTATAAAGAGTAAACAGGTCTACTGCAAGCCTCTCGCCTGCTGCCATACTACTGCGGCCTGTGATTGTTTTAGTGTATGGTAAACAGGATTTGGCCAGGTCAGTACTTAGATGGAAGATCACCAAGGAAAAAACACAAAGGGCCTGAATCTCTTATAGTTTGTATGGCCATGTACACTTGTGCAAAATGGATCTAAAATGTTACCATTTAAGAATAGCAACATTTTTGCACGGGTGTAAATGGCCATAAAATGCACGGCTGCAGGACACGTTTGATTATTCTGTAGGGGCATTCTGCCTTCTGACTCAGCAACAGAGCTGTAAGGGGATCACTGTGTTCATGAAGTTATGCCTACCTCAGCATCTCCAGGGAGCAAAGCTGGTTTATACCAGCTGTGGGTCTAACCTTCTGTTGCTTAGTAACTAACTTTTCATGGGTTTTATTAAACAAAATTGTTGAAAGCACAACATATTTTCTTATATAAGCATTAAAGAGGAGGATGGCCTATACAAAAGTATGGGAACACAGTTTTTAAATTAAAATAAAAGGCCTCTTGATGGCGTATGGTGATTGTATGGTGATTGTTTCCATGACAATTTTTGTAAGTAGCCTTTTTCATAGCATTGACACCTTAACTAGTTGTCGGGTTTGTGTAGTGCATTCTTCCTTCTTACTGCTCAGGCTTGTCTAGATGGGGACACTCAGGAAAGTTAATCCAAATTAACTAATGGTGTGAATTTGAAGTGGATTAAACAAACTGTGTTTAAACCCCTGTGTGGACTTTCTTATTTGGAATTAATATGAGTTTAATTAGATTTTACCGTAGTTCACTTCCACTCACTAAAGATTAACTTTTCTTAGTGTCCTTAGGTACACAAGTCCTAAATGTTCTCTGCTGTTTCAAATGGATATGGTATTCTCTTTCCTCTCTGACTGTTATACAGCACTCTTAAAATAACTGCTGCATTCCACCCCGAATAGGCCACATCTTCAGTTATTCTTCTATATATATAGTTTGTTGAACACTTTTGGGACATTGAAGATGAAATGCATGTTTTGTTTGTCTTTTTTTGTTGGTCCATCTACCGTATCTTTCCAATGGAAATACAGTAATTCCTCATTGAACACTATAGATGCATTTCTGAAAATGTTCATGCTAAGCGAAAACATGCTATGTGGGGTCAATTTTCCCATTAAAGATAATGGAAAAGGTGGGGGTTGCGTTTCAGGTGGTGATGGCAAAGTCAGTATTTTGTTGGTGCTGGGTCATCAACGTCAGCATTAGATATCTAGCAACGCAAGATATCTAGCAACGCAAGTTGCCGTGGTTTGTTAAAACACAAAGATAAACACGTGAGTGAGCAGAGGAGCACAGTGACCACGTGTATTCATCCACTCATGCATATTACCAGTTTTCACCAACTTATACCGCCATGTGAAGTAGTCTGCCACTTGATTATTTTTGTGTTATTTTGGGGACGATCATGTTGTTCAAAAAAAGGACCCTAAAAAAATCGTGCTATTGAGAAAACGTGTTAAGCGGGCACATGTTAAATGAGTAATTACTGTATAGAAATGGCCATACTGGTTCAGACTAATGATCTACCTAGTCGAGTATCCTGTTTTCCAACAGTGGGCAGTGCCAACTGCTTCAGAGAAAATGAACAGAATAGGGCAATTATCAAGTGATCCATCCCCTGTTATCCAGTTCCAGCATCTAGCAGTCAGAGGCTTAGAGACACAGAGCTGGTCCACAACATTTTAGCACCTGAGGCGGGGAGTTCAAATGACACTCCCATGCCCCCTGGCTTGGGCCAAAACTTTGAAAGGTCTCAATTCTGCCTTCTTCCTGTTCTACTCCTCTTGTGGTACTGCTCTGCTACCTACATATGCACCAGCAGCACACACAATTATCCACACTCTGTGTCCTAGTGCCCCCCCCCCAGTCTGGTGGCCTCCTCAGTTCACCTCATGGTAAAGCCAGCCCTGTAGAGACACTCAAAGTATGGGGTTGCATCCCTGACCATCTTGGCTAATAGTCATTGAGGACAGATCCTCCATGAACTTACTTAGTTCTTTTTTGAACCCGTTATAATTTAGGCCTTCACAACATCTGCTGGCAGTGAGTTCCAAAGGCTGATTGTGCACTATGTGAAGAAGTACTTCCTTATGTTTGTTTTAAACCTGCTGCCTATTAAAGTCATTGGATGACCCGTGGTTCTTGTATTATGTGATGGTGTACATAACATTTCCTTTTACTCTTTCTCCACACCTTTCATTCTGAGAGGACATGACTTAGCACTAGCTGACAAATGAGCTTCCAAAAAATTCTTACCAGTAAAATATCACATAAGTGGAATCACTTTCATTCTCATGTTGATATGTTTCTTACCAAATAATGGCTCTGATGTGAAATGAGCGGACTGCTTCAATCCACTTCCTAGCCATGCTTGACTACTTTAACATATTTAGATAAATGAATAAATGGGGCAGAGTTAGATTGTTGACTAATGGTGCTAATTTATATTGATATAGCACCTAAACTAACAGTAAGTACTAGCTGAAACTATTAAACACCAGTTTGCAACCACTAATTTAAAATGCGTTGCCTTTAACAACAGATTGCAAAACACAAATAAACTAGCAGGTGAGGCCCATCATTGACTGGGCAAAGTCATTTTGCATAGACTATGCTTTTAGGAAAGTTCAAGAAATTAAATATATGTAATAGAATTTTTTATTAATGTATTTCCAAAAGGGAACTAAAAGAACAGTTTTAAATTGGTAGGACTTCAACTTCAAAAATTATTTTATTGAATAATTACCATACATAGTAAATTTAAATCAGATACTCATAAAGCTTCCATTACTTTTTCCATAACTAATTTGAATTATTTTGTGATTTATATTAGTAAAAGTTTTCTTTGCACTAAAATGACAGTTGAATAAATGACTCAATTTTACTTTTTTTAGCAAATAGTTTTATGAACTCTAATCCTAATAGTCATGACTTTTTTCCAATGAAAAAACAAAAACAAATTATTTAAACATTTTACCCAGAATATTCTGGTGTAAAAAGTAGTGCATTCACTACTAATTTCAGTGGCAGGATTGTTTATGCAAAATTTGGTATATGTAGGTAATCGCGAAATACAGACATTTCCCCTTCCCCACCTCTAATATCATTAACTCCCTGGCATTCCCCTTCCTTCCCCCCCCCCCCCCACATCCCCCTTCTGTTCTGTAATGTGATTTGTCCTTTTCATGTGTGTTCATTTTTTTAAATTGTATCCTTTGGTATATATGGTTGTGACTATTTTCTTCCATTATTTGATCTGAGGAAGTGGGTCTGGCCCACGAAAGCTCATCATCTAATAAACCATCTTGTTAGTCTTTAAAGTGCTACATAGTCCTGTACTTGTACTTAGGCACCTAGATGTGGATTTGAGTGCCAAACTTTAGGTTCCCTACTAACCACATTCTGACTCAAATGTCAAATTGTAGTTTTGAACTATGTGGAAGAAAATTAGTAGCCAAAGGATGCAATGTAACAAATGATGCAGTCATCAAATGTGTGCTATTTGATCATTTATTGTAGTAGGATGTTAATAATAAAACCTAGCACCGATATGCATGAAGCACAGCATATTGTGAGATTACTTTCCTTGATATAGTTCGTTAATAATTTTCTATTGGTGTCATTGTACATATGTGTGTGGGGTGGGGGCAGGATTTGTTCATAATAGCATTTCTAATTAAATAGATGCATGGGGGTCACTGCGCCAATTTTTTGTACAAAGGCATTTTAGCAATTAGCTTCTTTCTGAAAAATAATTACATTTTATGAAATGACTAATTGTTTTTTTGATTTCTAAAAGTATAAGTGCATCCATGCAAAGTGATGGACTTTACTCTAAAAACTTTCTGGCTTTATACTAGTGACCTAGAGACTTAAGCCAATAAATAAGTTTACCTGATGAGATCCAGATCTGCTTCATTCAAGCAAAAGGTATTTGGAAACTCCTTGAGAGGTTGTGGAATGAGAGAGTTGGTCTTGAAAGGTACTATAGGTCTCATTCCCACGGGACGGCAAAGGGATTTTTTCTACTGACTTCAGTGAGTACCATTCAAACATTCAGTGTTCCAGGATTCCTGAGTTAATTCCAAAGCAGGGAAGGAGGAGCTTGGTACCAGGAAGATAGGTGTCCAAGGAACACCAGGAAGAGGGTCTGGGCATGAGAAGAAAGAAACAGTAAGTAGTGCTGCAGAATGGAATAGAAACACTTTTTAGGCTCCCTCCTCTCAACTCTCTAAGCTGGGTCACTCTTGGAAGTGTCTGAGTAAGAGGGTTGAGGAAGTGGCTAGTCTGAGTCTGGTCATGCTACACATTCTACAGGGCAGGGAGCATTCCTTCCTGAGCATTGAGCTTTTCATAGGAGAGCAGCCCAGTTTCAGCCAGAGGCTAAAAGAAGGTTTGGATTTTGTTTCTCTCCTTTGCTTTCTCCTGTGCCCCTTGAACTGGCCACCTTCTTTCTCCCTCCCACTCTACCCTCCAACCTACTGGGGCATTTCAAAGGACCAGGAGAGCAAAGGAGATGCAGGACAGTATGAAGTGCCCCAGCAGAGATGTTACAGAAAATGTACACTGATTGATCTGCATCCACTGAAATCAATTCATTTTCTTATTGAATTCAAACAGGAGCTGGAGCAAGCCCTTTGACTCTGAGCCAAAGACCAATTGACTTCATTGGAAGCCTTTCCACTAACTCTGAAGGGATTTGGATCAATCCCTCGCTTTCATTAGCATTAGTATTTAGTGCACCCACAGCTACATAATCGTGTTTTTGTCACCAACCTGCAAGCCACTTTTGTTTGTATAGGCTTCATTTCCGTGAGCCCTTGGAACATAAAGGCTTTTATGGCCACAGAAACCTTTCCCATGACACTTGTATACCTTTAATGTTTTGGCAGAAAAAATAGACTTTAGGCATGACTTACATTTTGACTAAAGACCTTGTTACAGCCATAAGTGAATGTTACAACAATAATTGTTGGCTTGGCTTGCAGGGGTAAAAGGTTTAAGGATCATGGCACTGCCTGAATAAAAAATACAGCAAGAGATCATGCTGTTAAGAGTCCAGTATGTTCAATATTGAGGAGATAAACGATAGAGAGTAGAATACATCACTTGCAGAATTCTGCCCTCAGTTCTGTAAGGACCTGATCCAAAGTCCAATGAAATCAGTGAAGACTCCCATTGATTTCCATAAACTTTGGGCTAGACCCTAAGTGAAATAGGAAGTGTAAATTCATTAGCATAGCTTATTAACATAAGTCATGCATCCTGAGAACCAGCATCAGTAATAACCCATTAAAGAAAAAGATGCAGATGAAGTTGAATTACATTGTTTAAAATATTGGCTGTGGCAGAGGAAGCTCTCTGAAGTTGCTGTCAAGTGTACCAAATGATTCATAACAAATTAAAAATAGCTGAGTCTGCTTCAGATTAGGCACCAGTTAGTAAGAAAACATTGTTAGCATTTTGTGGTGCTTTATTGGCCTACATGGAATGAATCAATTGCCTCAGTCCATTTCCTAGTGGACAGATGACCCAGTCACAAAACCCACCAGTGCAAGGGGAACAGCTTCACACTTTTCTTGGATGTTTCCACATAAAGACTATTGGAGAATTAACTAATCTTTCTCACCAGAGGTGGTCCTTCCAGAACAAGGTTTTGGATCACTGCTGACTGTCTGAAGAGCATTGAACCATTGCTGCCCATCCAGAGGCCTTCGAGACTCAGTTTGTGCCAATCTGGCTAAATTCACTTGAAAGGTAAAACTTAGAACGAAGAAGTCCAGGGTGCACTTTTAAAAGGCACTGAAAATATGTGAAGTTCACAACATGCATGTCTTGGGCTTTTTAACGGCAAAGGACTGATCACAGAACCTTGACTCTATGTGATGCTTTCCATTGTCCAGCAAACTTGCAGCACTTTACCATCTTGGCTTATTCTCTGGGACAGAAGAAGTCACAGACTGCAAGGAACCGGCAGGGAGGAGTCAGTTTTTGGCAACGCCAAAACACTTAATGGTAATGAGCAAAAATAGAAAATTAAAGCAAGCTCGCCGGCTCATTGCTGAATTCTTGCTTGGTAAAGGAATGTTGACTAGCATTTCCTCCCATTCCCTTCTATAGGTTTAGATCAACATGTCTAGTGTGTCCGGCAAAAGCTTAGTTCCAAACATGCTTGTAATTGGGGGAGAGGGTTCAGTGTCTAAATCCTACTCTAAATTATGTATTGGTCTCTACCTTTGTATTTGACTAAACCAAAACCCCAGACCTGAAATCCCTGTTTTGTTAGTGTGTGCAAAATCTAGATTCGGGTCCACATGTTGCAGTCCAAGCTTATACCTGGGAGCCAGCAGGGTCTGGAGGAATTCTCTGTTGACAGGTTGATGTGGGTTAAGGACAGATGTGGACAAGAGGTTGGGACAGGGAAATAATAAAACTTACTTACAATAGTTGTAATTAACTTACATTTTTTAAATCTTATTGTTCCTCTTCCCCAACATCTAGTCTTTCCTTAGACTGTGAACATCTCACAGCAAGATCCATCTCTTTTTGAATGTCAGGAATGTACCTAGCACATTGTGGCAACTACTATAAATAAATATTAATGCACACGGATTTTGGAGTCAAGCGGTCATGAATTCTAAATATTGGGCTCTGCCATTGACTCAGTGTGTGGCTCAGAGCAAGTCTTATTACCTATCTGCCATCATGTGCACAACTGTGTTAGAGAGTTCACCTTTTATAGTCCCACTTCCTTGTCCTGTCTCCCTGCTTCTGGTGGGGCAGCTGTGGGTTCCCCCTCTTTTGCCCACCAAGGGCAATTGTGGGTCTCTCCCTGTCTGGCAGGGCAGGAGATCAGGTGCCCTTGCTACAGTTTTCATTTCTTGGAAGCTCTTCACTCCTTTGGCACCATGCAACCAAGCCTCAAAGTCATTTCTGCTCCTCTCTCAACACATTAGAGAGAGTCACTGGAAGATTAAGCTACTGTACTACATACTAACCTGCTTATCTGACAGTTGTCATGGAGATAAGTTAATATTTGCAAATTTATGCATAAATGCCAAATACTATCTCTCATTTTAAAAATACTTAAAATTGAAACACTAAATACGTGTTTAATTTTAAAGCAATATTAAAATATTTTACTAAGAATTGTAGGTCTGATATTAGAATAAAAAATATTATTCTGATAACATTGAAGTGAAACTGAATTTGATCAGTCCTTGCTCTGCTTTTCTTTCAGCTGAAAAGATGTTCCTTTAACATACACACTTTTATTATGAATGCATAGAACTGTCTGAGTTACACAGGACTGAAATATGCTTTACCCCATATTGAGGTAATATATTATCAAGCAACGATAGCATAAAGAGGCTCATGTTGTCACTCCTAATATTGTTTTCTTGCCCAGATTTTGATCCAACTTCATTTTCCCTGTAGTTTTTTGTCTCTAAATGTGTCTTTGGAAAACAAATATCTTTATTTGAAAAATACAG